CAGTGAGCGGGAACCGGTCTGTATGTGGGATCCGAACCCTCGGCGGGAGCGCCACCGCGCTCCCAAGCGGCGCACTGTAGCAGTGCGCCACCGGGCCGGCCCCGAACCAGCAACATTTTTAAAGCAGAAAACAGACACTATCAGGACTGTTGTTGTCATTGTTTTAGGAAAATAGACTCTGGAAGCAATGGGGAGGATGCCGAGAAAGAAGATGAGAGGCAAGGGCAGGAAAACCTGTGGGAGACTGCTATAATAGGAGGGGCAGTAGAGTGTGTCCAGAGCTGACCAGTGGTCTAGAGCCCCTTGGAAAGTAGAATGGACAGCACTTGGGGACAGATTGGATGTAGGGTCACGAGGGAATGGCGTGAACTCAGAAATGGCTTGGAGGCTTCTAGCTTGGGTAACTGGGTGGGTGACGATGCCAACAACTGAGATGGAGAAGAGAGGGGGAGGTGTGGGGTGAGGAGGAGACAACTAACATGTTCAGATGACTCGATGACTGTAACATGTACACACACCCACAGAAAACTGCTTTCAACTGTAGAAAAATGATGCATGGCTCTGGAGTGCTAACCCACTTTTCTGACTCCTGTAGGAACTTTAGTCACAAACAAAGGGGTTCCGAGTGACCTGTGAACAGATGGAATATAGAGCAAGCCATTCTTGTCATTTCAGAGTCACCTTGTAGTTCTGGGGGCTGCTAAACAGAGAAAGTAAATTTCATAGTTAACTCAGTTTCAAGGCATCCATAGCCCTGAGGTCCCCAGGAAACCTGAAAAAAGCTATACCATAAAGCCATTAAGAAGTTAAGTTCAGATGCTGGCTCTGCTTTTCACCACCTGAGACCTTAGGCAAGTCACATGACCTCTCTGAGTGTCTGTTCCATCGCTTATAAAATGAGACTTACTATGGCATTTTGTGAGGCTAACATAAGGTATATCCTGACCATGTAACACAGAGCCTGGCATATTGTAAATAATAAATATTAGCAGCTGTGTGACTGTTATTGTTATTAATGTTATTGGTGGCTATGCCTAGCCATACTATAGGGTATATATATTGGGTTTTATTTTATTTTTTTTTCGTGACCGGTAAGGGGATCGCAACCCTTGGTGTGGTGTCACCTGCACTCCGCTCAGCCAGTGAGCACACCGGCCAGTCCTATATAGGATCCGAACCCGCGGCGGGAGCATCGCTGCACTCCCAGCGCTGCACTCTCCCGAGTGTGCCACGGGGTCGTGCAGCACTCTCCGGAGTGCGCCACGGGGCCGGCCCTATATTGGGTTTTAAATCTGCTTGGGGCCGCCCGGTGGCGCACTCAGTAGAGTGCGGCGGCGCTCCCGCCGAGGGTTCGGATCCCATATAGAGACCAGTCCGCTCACTGGTTGAGCGTGGTGCGGGCACGACACCGAGGGTTGCGATCCCGTTACCGGCCACGAAAAAAGACAAAAAGGAAAAAAAAAAAATCTGCTTGTGTTCTCTATCCAACAGAAAAAGTGAGGCCTTGCCTTAAGTGTTGTATTTTCATGGTGACAAACAAGAATGAAGTTCCCTGGTTATAGAAGACCTTACCTGATCTTTCATTCATTCATTCATTCGTTCAGCAACAATTGAAGCTGTTCCAAAGAGCTCACAGGCTAACAGGGGGAAACATGTAATAGGTGAAAACATGTAACTATAGTAAAATAGTAGTGACATTGTAAAGCTTCTGGGTACCTGGGGGCAGGAGCAGTAGAGGGGATGCCCCCACCTGGAGATGGAGGAGAGAGAAGGAGGGTTAGACAGTGAGTAGGAGTGTGTTCTTGGGCAGGGCCAAATCACGGGGAGGGGTTTGCTGGGTGGCCAAGGAGAGAATGGTGCTCCTCTTGATAGAGGAGACCAATGGAAACCCAGGGGCCTGGCCAGTGTAGGGGATGAGAAGAGCTCAGATGAGGCTGGAGAGTGGCCTCTGTAGATGCCACCCAGGTGTGGGACATGAGGCTGTGGATGATGGAGAGCCACTGGAAGGTTTAAGGTGGAGGGGTGCATTTAGAGCTGCACTTTAGAAAAATTCCTTTGGCTGGTGCATGAGGAATGGGATAGAGACAACAGGAAGCTCGGTTAGCAGTGGGCGGAACTGAAGTAGGGACTTGGACGCTAGAGAGAGTGGCAGAGTCAAGAGGTAGAGGAGGTCAGATTAGCGGACAATCACCAGATTGTCCTTGGTGGCCCACTGGACAGTGGGGAGCAGGGAGAGGGTGGGGTCACTGGGACTGTTTTCTCTGCCTATGGGAGAAGGGTTGGGCCTGCTGGAGAAGGGGCTGTGCTTAGTCTGGAACAGTTGAGTTGGAGGTGCCTGGGAGACTGCAGTCCTGGTCCTCTGACAGACAGCTGGACTAAGGGAGAGGTCTGGGAGTAGCCAGGAAGAATGAGGCTCCAGAGAGAGGGTCAGTCAGTGGAGTGAGGAAGCATTACAGGCAGCAAGCAGCTGGGTCTCACTGTCTCTGTCCTGGGCCTCACTGAAACCAGAGATCTCCAGCTTTGCACTCAGGAGGAGGCTCCATCCTCGAGATCCGGGTAGACCTCAGCAAGTTTCTGTGCATAAACCACTCCTCTGCTCAGGGACCCGCTGATTTCTACTGGCTGCCCAGGTACTGGAGTAGGCATGGTTTTCAGCTCCCAAGGCCCAAGATGCATTGTGTCCTTCAGGTTTGCCTTAAACATTAGTTTTCTCTATGGACTCTGCAGCCATCAGTGTGTGCAGTTGACAGACCGGCTCCTTTGAGGTTTAGTTTTGTTTGTTTGTTTTTCCTTTCCTTTCCTTTTTTTTTTCTAATGGGCTTTTTTTCTTTGGCCAAGTTCCATAAACAGTATCAGCACACACAAGGGGACCTTCAACACCATTTTGACTTTTGGCAGGAGAAGACTCAACAGGCCTGGGGAGTCCAGAGCTGCAATTAAAGACCTGGCCAGGGGAGGGGGTGGCCCTCTCTTTATCTTGGGAAGATCAGTCCATGGGTGCCTGGGACCTGGCTGGGCCTTTTCATATGGTATCTTGCCTGGCTGGCTGGAGACAATGATGGCCGATAAGAGAGTTGACAGAGCTCTGGGCTGGACCTGCTGCAGGGACTGCCCTTCCGTTCCCAGCTGTCGTTCCGTCTCTTCTGCAGGACAGAGGCTTGGGCCCAGGAGTTGATGGGGGCAAACAGAGAAGGTCATAGAGTAAAACAGGCTGGACGCTGGGGCTTGGCAAATTAGTGTGGAGGAATAGTTTTCTCTTTCAGAAGTATGTTCCCTCCTGATAGTCATAGTCTGGTTTTTATTTTCTCATTCTTAGTAAAGAACTTGGGTACAGAGAAACATTCCCCTGTCATAGTGCCGGGGGTAGCAGCATGGTGAGTACCCGAATAGAGGAGCAGCCGCCGCAGCTCATCCCATTGCTGCCATGAGGTAATGCAGGGCCAGTGTCGCTGGAAGTTTAAAGTTTTCAAGAGAAACTAGGAATTCAGATTTAATGGGAGATCTCCCAATTAGGTTAAATTTTTAAAAATAAACGCTACAGGTAGGTCTCCCTGTGGGTCAGATGAGGCCTGGGTGCTGTGGTTCATGTTCTCTGGGTGAGCCCGGCCTCTCTTGTGTCCTTTCTGGCCTCAGCACACTGCGAGTTATCACCCAGAGGAGGAGAGGAGCACCAGATAGGAGCAGACTGAGCCTGTTCCAGAATCTTCTCTAACATGACGATGAGCGGCCTGGAACAGCCATGTCCCTTCCCTGGAGTCCACCTTCTTTATCAGCACAATAAAGGCAGAGCTAGATCTGTGCTTTTGAACCATCTTTTTCTTAGCAGCAGAACTTTTTTCAACCAAATCTTATAAGCAACAAATCACAATATATGAAATAGATTTAAAAAAAAAAAAAAAAGACAACCAGAGCTGCTGTAGTTGCAAGGGTAGTGGAGTTCTGCCCCAAGGCTGCCTCTGCCCTCCCCGCAGGGGCAGCTCTGCCAGGCTGTACAGAACACAGTGCAGTGACTGCCCACCTGCCGGTTGGCTCCTGCCACCCCTCCCTGTCCTGGCACTCTGTGGGTTGAGTGGGAGGAGGAGAACAGCCGCTGGAGGGAGAGCAAGCCACAGGAGGTCCGCCTGCAGCCCGCTCTTTCCATGTGGTTTTGCCTCCTCACGTCAGCCCTCTGAGGTGTGCATTACTATTTCCGTTTCACAGGTGAGTAAACCAAGTCTCCACTAAAAGGGAGAGTTACCCACAAGGTCACCTGGCTGGAAAGTGAAGGAGCCTAGATTCCAGCCAGGCTGAGACCTCTGGGCCTCCCTTATCCTTGGCTGCTCCCAGAAGTAGTCCCACATACATGTGGCTCCTGGGTCCCAGTAATGATGATTTCCATCCCTTGTGTTTCTGTGCCATGCTTTGGTTTGCAAAGTCCCTTCAAATGTGATCTCATTTTGCTGGTGTCAGGCTTGATTCATCTGAGCAAGTCTCTCCTTTTTATCACCATGCAGGAGGCAGAACCATCAGAGCCCAGAAGTGCGGAGGTGATGAGGAAGCCCAAGGCTACTGTTCCTTCCATGAACAAGAGGCCCAAGAAGGAGACCAAGAAGAAGCGGTAGAGGAGGAGGCCTGAGGAGCCTTGCAGGCGGGACCAGGCCTTGGGGCAGCCCTCCCGGGAATCAACATCCTGTTCCCCTTGTCCATCCCAGGCTCGGGGGCTGAGGGTGGCTGCAATGCCCTCTGACCAGAGATCTGGACAGTTGTGACAGTCCCCAGGCTCCAGCTGGGCAGATCACCACTTCCTCTTCCTTCTGCTTCGGTGACAGTTTACAGTCAGGGGGCCTGCAACACCCTGTGAGCAAAGACTATATTAGGCTTGTTCAGAAGTTGGGTCAGCTCACAGAGTTACATTTTCTTTCTCAAAAATTCTTTTTAATTTTAACATTTACTTGTACATATTTGAGGGGTACAGTGTATTGTTTCAATGCATGCATGTACTACACAATGATTCAGTTAGGGTAGGGAGCATGGTTTTGTACCCGTTACTCCATCACTACTCCTCTCCCCCACCCCCCTCCCCTCCTGGCCTCTGGTAACCATTATTCTACTCTCTACTTGGATGAAAAACACTTTTTTTATTTTTTAGATTCCACACACAAGTGAGATCATAGAGTTACATTTTCTTACTTAATTACCATGTCCAGCCTTTAGTCCTCCACCTTGTGGATTTACACTACATTTTGGAGTCATTATCTAATGCTGACAAGCACACCCTCTCCCATTATTTGTGTACCACAGCTCTCCTGCTAATCAGTCTACCTTTGTCCCTGCTTGTGTGGATGGAGCCAGGCCTCGCCTATTTGTTTAAGTCAGGGCACCATGGCTGTGCAATGTTAATGATCCCGTTAGCTGCGACAGCCGGGTCTGAAACATGTCTGGTGTGAGAGCCAGCAGAAGGCCCAGGCCAGGGTAATGCCTGGTTCTCCTTCAGCAGGTGGAAGGAATTTGGCTGAATGAGTGTCCATTCTTTGGGCACAAACTTTCTGAGCCTCTGAAATGAGAAGCTTGTCAATTTCAGAACAACCTCTTTTCAACCCAGCATAGCACATTCAGGATGTGCCTTTTTACCTCCAGCTGTATGTCCCCTTTACTGCTCCCCTGCCCCAATTCTTTCATTTCCCAACTAGTGAGGAAAAGTTATTGGGGGAATTAAAGATCATTAAACTGTGCCCATGTTGAACATGCCTGTGTGTTGTCTGCTGCCGAGGGAAAGGGGAAGCCTGGGTCCCTGCCCTGGGCTGAGGGAAAGGCTTGCCCCCCAGAGAAGTGGGGGTGAGGATGACCAGAATAGGAGATGGACTTGGTCAGAGCAACTCTGCAGGCTGAGCCATTCTGGAACAAGTTTTTAGGAAGGGTCTAGCCAACTGCTTTGTGTGGCTCTTAGTCACTGGAAACACTTGTGAATGGCCATGGGTGTGTTAGAGTTTCCACTGGGTCTGGGCCCCACTCATTCCCCAGGTTGTTGTTGCCTGAAGACGACGCTGCTTGTCCTCAGAGTGGTTTGAGAAAAACCAAATGCAGTACGATAGAAGCCTCACATGGCTTTGAGTGGATCTGGTCATGTCCCCTGAATCAGCTGCCGAGGAAAAACCCGAGTACAGTCTGCCAAACACTTTCCAAAATGTTGTCAGGACTGCTGAGGAACTTAAGGGATGAGCATCTATCATTTCCATTTTAGAGGGGGACACTGAAGTCCAGACTACTTGAGAGTGCCAGAACTGGGACCGGGACCCAAGTCCGCAGCTGTTTCCTTGGTCTTTAACAAATCTTTAATGAGTGTCAATAGGCACAGTGCTGTGAGGGTCCTTGCTGTGCTGCAGAGGGGCTTGGCAAGCTCTCCCAAGCACTTTAAGTTTTGGGAGAGGAAGTCCAGGGATTGGTGCTTCTGCATGACAAAGGGCCAGTGTTGGCCAGACACTAACATAAGAATGGGCTTCTACTGAGTATTTCTGTTCCACAAACAAGAGATACTCTCTTAAATCCCTGGCACCATGCTAGGCACTGGGGATGCAGAAATAAGAAGCTTTCCTAGAATCCTAGAGGAGTGCACTTGGCCTGGTGGAGACTCAGACATTAAGCAGGCTTGGTTTGGAGAGTTCTCCAACAAGGAGGTATAATCAGATGCTGCGGGAGCCAGGCACAGGCACCCAGCTCAGGCTTGAGGGGGTCAGCGCAGACACCTAGCAGAGCAGAAGTGACAAGCTGAGACAGTCTCCGCAGGAGTTGAGACTAGAGGGAAATTATGCTGGGAGAGTGGAGGCCAGAACTCTAGAGCAGATCTGTTCCAGCTTGTGGAGAGACAGCTTCTGGCTCTCAGGAGCAGTACTACCTCGGTAGGTCCAAGGCCATTAAATTATCTCCCTTAAAGGCTGTTTGCCAGAAAACAGCCCTTGGAAAGCAAGGGCAGTCATCCTCTGCTTTACCAGATCCTCATTCCATATTACTGTGGGCAGAGTTGGCATTATTTGGCTGTATTAGGTTGCAGGACCCCATCCTCTCCTGGTTTTCTTCCTACATTACTGGTTCCTCCTCACAAGAGGGTCCCAGGTGTCAGTCCTTGGTCCTCTTTGTTTTGCAGAAGGTGTAGTCCCTAGACCTCTGCACAGACTCCCTTGAAGATCTTATCCAGGCTTGTGACTTAAAGTACCACTTTTATTAGAGTTCTCCAGAGAAACAGTTCTCCAATAAGATATATAAAGAGATTTATTATAAGGTATTGGCTCAGGTGATTATGGAGGCCTGAGAAATCCCATGATCTGCTGTTTGCAAGCTGGAAACCCAGAAAAGCTGGTGGTGAGGCCAGTGATGTAGATTCCAGTCTGAGTTGAAGGCCTGAGAACTAGGAGTGCCGAGGGCAGGAGAGGATGGATGTTCCAGCCCATGCAGTTGGCAGAGGGGGGTGAATTCCACTCTCCTCCACCTGTTTGTTCTATTCAGGCCAATTCAAATGCTAACCTCCTTCAGAAACACCCTCACAGACACACACAGAAATAATGTTTAATCAGATTAGCTGGGCATCCCACGGCCCAGTCAAATTGACATATGAAATTAACCATCATGCCACACGTGTACTGATGCCTCCCAAAAGGATCTCTCCAGACCCCTCTCTTAAACTCCAGATTTATGTATCTGACTTCCTCCTGCTTGATATCTCCATTTGGATACCCAACAGGAACCCCAAAACAAATTCCTGATCTCCTTACCGGCAGCCCCAGGTCTGCTCTTCTTGTGTCTTCCCCATTTTAAAGAGCATCTTTTTAAAAAAAATTGTAGACATTTCAGGTATATAACTTGATGATTTGAGTTGTATGAGTTTCTTATATATTTTGGATTTTAACTCCTTATCAGATATATGATTTGCAAATGTTTTCTCCCATTCTGTAGGTTGTCTTCTCATTTGTTGATTGTTTCCTTTGCTGCTGCACAGAAACTTCTTCATTTGATGTTGTCCCATGTTTATTTTTGTCTGTGTTGCCTGTGCTTTTGGTGTCATATCCAAAAAATTGTTGCCAAGGCCAATGTCAAGGAGTTTTTCCCCTATGTTTTCTTCTAGGAGTTTTACAGTTTCAAGTCTTAATCAATTTCAAGTTGATTTTTGTGTATAGTGTAAGATAAGGGTCCAATTTTATTCTTTTGAATGTGGATATCCAGTTTTCCTAACACCATTTTTTGAAGAGACTATCTTTTCCTCATCTTGTATTCTTGGTATTCTTGTGGAAGATTACTTGCCTGTATATGCTTGGGTTTATTTCTAGGTTCTCTATTCTATTCCATGGTCAATGTGTCTGTTTTTATGCCAGTACCATGCTGTTTTGATTGCTATAGCTTTGTAATGTAATTTTAAATCAGGAACAGTTGATGCCTCCAGCTTTGTTCCTTCTCAAGATTGCTTTGGCTATTCCAGATCTTTTGTGGTTCCATATGAATTTTAGGATTGTTTTTTCTATTTCTGTGAAAAATGCCATTGGAATTTTGATAGGGATTGCATTAAGTCTGTAGGTCACTTTGGGTAGTATGGACATTGACGGAGTTTGGATGTGTTGTCCCCTCCAGAACTCATGTGGAAATTTGATCTCCAATGTGGCAGTGTTGGAAACTGATTGAGTCATGGGGGCGGATCCCTCATGAATGGATTAATGCTCTCCCTGGGGGAGGGGGGATTAATGAGTGAGTTCTTGCTTGATTAGTTCCCCCCGTGAGAGCTCGTTGCTTAAAAAGACCCTGGCACTTTCTCTCTCTCTCTCGCTTCCTCTCGCATGTGATCTGCTCATACCCACCGGCTGCCTGCCACTTTCTGCCATGAGTAGAAGCAGCCTGAGGCCCAGGCCAGATGCAGTTGTCCCAGAATCGTAAGCCAAATAAACCTCTTTCCTTTATAAATTACCCAGTCTCAGGTATTTCTGTTATAGCAACACAAAATGGACTAAAACAGACATTTTAATATTAATTCTTTCAATCCATGAAAATGGGATGTCTTTCCATTTATTTGTGTCTTAAAGAACATCTAATTATTTCAGTCGATAAGGCCAAAAATCTTGGAGTCATCCTTGACTCCCACCTCTCTTTCACACTCCACTTTTGATTCTAAGTATGTCCCTGCAACTCAGCCTTCAAAGTCAAGAATGCTGCCCTGTCTCACCACTTCCCTCCACTACCATGGTCCAGCCACCATCATCTCACTTGGATATTGCAGCAGCCTTCGCATAAGTAGTCTGTTCTCAGCACGGCAGCCAGAGGGATCCTGTTAAAACCTGTGAGATCACGTTTCACCTACTTCCATCTCACTCAGGTGAAGGCCAGAGTCTTCACTGAGACCCACATGGGCCTGTGAAAGCCACTCCACCTCCAACCTCTCTGACCTCATCCCCTCCCCCTCCCCTTTGCCACTGTATTCATTTCTCAGTAGCCCCCATCCTCCTCCACATGCCAGGCAACCCCTGTCTCAGGGCCTTTGAACTTGCTGTTCCCACTTCCTCTAGATACCACGCCTCATGTGGTAGGCAGAATAGTGCTCCCCGACGATGTACATGTCCTAATCCCCAGAATCTATGAATATGTTACTTTACATGACAAAAGGGACTTTGCAGATGTGATCGAGTTAACGATCTTGAGATAGGAGATTAGTCTGGATTATCCAGGTGGGTCCAATGGAATTATCGGGATCCTTTTAAGGTAAAGAGGGAGGCAGGAAAGTCAGAGTCAGAGAAGACAGAAGACAGTGATGATGGAAGCAGAAGTTGGAGTAACATGGGGCCATGAGCCAAGAAATGTGGTCAGCCTGTAGAAACTGGAAAAGGCAAGGAGATGGAATTCTCCACTGGAATCTCCAGAACTGCACTGTGCCGACACTTAGATTTTAGCCTAGTGTGATCCATTTTGGACTCGACCTCAAGAGCTGTAAGATATTAAATTTGTGTTGTTTGTGGTAATTTGTTACAGCAGCAATGAAAAAATCAATACACCTCACTTCCTTCAGGCTGTTACTCAGGGAAGCTTTCTCTGGCCACCCAATTTAAAATTTTAACCTTTCCCCAAGACTTTCTATCCCTCATCCCTTATTTATTTTTTTCCTCCCCAGCATATAACACCATCTAACATACTATATATTTTACTTGTTTTGTCTATTGTCTTTGGTGCCAATTAGAATGTGAACTCCCAGAAGAAAAGAATTTTTTTGTTCTTGCTTACAGATGAATCCCTGTGGCCTGGAAGAGTGCCTGGCACACAGTAGGTGCTCAGTAAATATTTGTGGCATGAATGCTAATTGGACAAGGTGGCCTGCCCTAACAACATAGCTTAGTGAAAAAACATGACATGTGCACAGGCACTTTACATACATGATTTATTCAGTGCTCACAGAATTCCCAAGAGGTTGGTAACATTATCATTCCCACTTCATAGATGAGGACATGGAGGTGCCTGGAATTGAACTCAGGCAGCCTATCTCCAGTGCCCACTCTCTGATCACACTGCTGTTTCCTCCCTTTCTGCCCTGGAATTCTCAAGGGGAATTCTGTGGGGGGAGAAAAGATCAGGACTAGGGGCTGGAGGCTTCATCACCCAAAGCACTAAATCACTAATGGTAAAATTATGCTCATCAATGAGGAAGAGACTCTAGGGTGGAGATTTGTTTTGATTTTTTAGCTTTTTTGGGGTGAAATTCACATAACATAAAATTAA